ATATATATATATATATATATATATATATATATTTGTACACATATATATATTTGTAATTCTATGCTTATTTCACTAGTTACTTAATTTTGAATAGTGTAGATTTGGGTTCAATAATGAGGTCTTTTTTTTTGATTGCTCTGGCTATAATTAATGCAGTTCCCGATTTCGTCTATAAAACGAACGGTAGAAAAAAGTTCCAAGATTGGTCAACAAAACTGGAAAAGAAAAAGGTTTTTGGCTTACTTTTCCAAGCCTCTGATTTTTGACCAATACTGGGTGTGACTGTGGAGTTAACAAAGACATTAAGTACAGCGTTGCGAATCATACTGCTTGCAAATATTCAGTTTTCTGTAGAGATCTTAATCTAACTAAACTGTGCTTGAACAGTTGAATATATACGACTGTACAATTCAGTGTTGACAACAAAGAAGTACAACAGTATGTTTGAAGCATATTTTGAACTGTCATTAAATTTTTGAAACTAAGAACAAATCAGTTAATAAGTGACAACAGTCGAACAAGTTACCCATACACTGCTTTATTTTCGCTGCAGCATTTGAGATAACATTACTGAAGAAGCAAATTTTCAAATGTTAAACAAATTAGGCAGAATCAAAAAAGTATTAACATCAGCTTTCTTTTCCGTATTTAAACTAAATTCGATATAAGGAAAAAATTTTTTTGGTTATATAATGTAAGCAAAATGGTTGATGTTTCATGTATTCTTCAGTCAACCGTTTTCTATTCTTTCTTCGTTTACTTTTAATTAAACATTCAAATTACTTTTTCAAAACAAATAACATTATAGCATAAGCAAAAAATGACTAAAGCGGCAGTATGAATACGTTAATAGCATAGAAGCCAACTGTGAAAAGCACATTTTGAGAATGACGACATAAAATTCCGGGAAGTTTGCAGTCAGTGGCATGTTATAATCAAAATTAATATACCGCATGATAATGTTGTTGTAAATCGGATTACACCTCTGTTATTGCTGCAATATAATCAACTACAGTTTCAAAAAAAAAAAATTAAATGGTCCGACATAAAAACATGATAAATTTTGATCCGAAAGCCTTGTCAAGAAGTAGTTTTTTTGTTTCTGTCCTTGATACAAATGTTTGCTGATGTTGTAAGTATCAAAGTGATGTCAGGAAAAAAAATGCATCAGACAGGCAAACGTTTGTTTCACAACTGTATGATTTTGACAAGCAAAAACTTTTTTTCAAGTTTTATTCAGTTGGTATAATTAATTTACTTTGTATGTACGTTTCTATGCATTTTTTGATGTGTAAGAGATCAAATAAATAGCAAAACAGCGAAAAATTCTTTGCATAGTTTTTCAATACTTTTTGAGGCAGATA